TCAATGTTGCCTGGAGCCCGCCACCCTCCCCCTCTTCAATGTTGCCTGGAGCCCGCCACCCTCCCCCTCTTCAATGTTGCCTGGAGCCCGCCACCCTCCCCCTCTCCAATGTTGCCTGGAGCCCGCCACCCTCCCCCTCTTCAATGTTGCCTGGAGCCCGCTACCCTCCCCCCTCTTCAATGTTGCCTGGAGCCCGCCAACCTCCCCCTCTTCAATGTTGCCTGGAGCCCGCCACCCTCCCCCCCTCTTCAATGTTGCCTGGAGCCCGCAACCCCCCCCTCTTCAATGTTGCCTGGAGCCCGCAACCCCCCCCCCTCTTCAATGTTGCCTGGAGCCCGCCACCCTCCCCCCCTCTTCAATGTTGCCTGGAGCCCGCCACCCTCCCCCTCTTCAATGTTGCCTGGAGCCCGCCACCCTCCCCCCTCTTCAATGTTGCCTGGAGCCCGCCACCCTCCCCCCCTCTTCAATGTTGCCTGGAGCCCGCCACCCCTCCCCCCTCTTCAATGTTGCCTGGAGCCCGCAACCCCCCCCCTCTTCAATGTTGCCTGGAGCCCGCAACCCCCCCCCCTCTTCAATGTTGCCTGGAGCCCGCCACCCTCCCCCCTCTTCAATGTTGCCTGGAGCCCGCCACCCTCCCCCTCTTCAATGTTGCCTGGAGCCCGCCACCCTCCCCCCTCTTCAATGTTGCCTGGAGCCCGCCACCCTCCCCCCCCCTCTTCAATGTTGCCTGGAGCCCGCCACCCCTCCCCCCTCTTCAATGTTGCCTGGAGCCCGCCACCCTCCCCCTCTTCAATGTTGCCTGGAGCCCGCCACCCTCCCCCTCTTCAATGTTGCCTGGAGCCCGCCACCCTCCCCCTCTTCAATGTTGCCTGGAGCCCGCCACCCTCCCCCTCTTCAATGTTGCCTGGAGCCCGCCACCCTCCCCCTCTTCAATGTTGCCTGGAGCCCGCCACCCTCCCCCCTCTTCAATGTTGCCTGGAGCCCGCAACCCCCCCCCCCTCTTCAATGTTGCCTGGAGCCCGCAACCCCCCCTCTTCAATGTTGCCTGGAGCCCGCAACCCTCCCCCCTCTTCAATGTTGCCTGGAGCCCGCAACCCTCCCCCCTCTTCAATGTTGCCTGGAGCCCGCAACCCCCCCCCTCTTCAATGTTGGAGCCCGTGGAGCCCGCAACCCCCCCTCTTCAATGTTGCCTGGAGCCCGCAACCCCCCCTCTTCAATGTTGCCTGGAGCCCGCAACCCCCCCCCCTCTTCAATGTTGCCTGGAGCCCGCAACCCCCCCTCTTCAATGTTGCCTGGAGCCCGCAACCCCCCCCCCTCTTCAATGTTGCCTGGAGCCCGCAACCCCCCCCCCCCTCTTCAATGTTGCCTGGAGCCCGCAACCCCCCCTCTTCAATGTTGCCTGGAGCCCGCAACCCCCCCCCCCTCTTCAATGTTGCCTGGAGCCCGCCACCCCCCCTCTTCAATGTTGCCTGGAGCCCGCCACCCTCCCCCTCTTCAATGTTGCCTGGAGCCCGCCACCCTCCCCCTCTTCAATGTTGCCTGGAGCCCGCCACCCTCCCCCTCTTCAATGTTGCCTGGAGCCCGCCATCTTCCCCCCCTCTTCAATGTTGCCTGGAGCCCGCCATCTTCCCCCCCTCTTCAATGTTGCCTGGAGCCCGCAACCCCCCCCCCTCTTCAATGTTGCCTGGAGCCCGCAACCCCCCCTCTTCAATGTTGCCTGGAGCCAGCAACCCCCCCCCCCTCTTCAATGTTGCCTGGAGCCCGCAACCCCCCCCCCTCTTCAATGTTGCCTGGAGCCCGCAACCCCCCCCCTCTTCAATGTTGCCTGGAGCCCGCAACCCCCCCTCTTCAATGTTGCCTGGAGCCCGCAACCCCCCCCCCCCTCTTCAATGTTGCCTGTAGCCCGCCACCCTCCCCCTCTTCAATGTTGCCTGGAGCCCGCCACCCTCCCCCCCTCTTCAATGTTGCCTGGAGCCCGTCACCCCCCCCCCCCTCAATGTTTCCTGGATCCCGCAACCCCCCCTCTTCAATGTTGCTTGGAGCCCGTCACCCCCCCCTCAATGTTTCCTGGAGCCCGCAACCCCCCCCCCCTTCAATGTTGCCTGGAGCCCGCTACCCCCCCCCCCTCAATGTTGCCTGGAGCATGCCACCCCCCCCCCCCCTCAATGTTTCCTGGAGCCGGCCGCCCCCCCCCCTCTTCAATGTTGCCTGGAGCCCGCCACCCTCCCCCTCTTCAATGTTGCCTGGAGCCCGCCACCCTCCCCCTCTTCAATGTTGCCTGGAGCCCGCCGCCCACCCTCAATGTTGCCTGGAGCCCGTCCCCCCTCCTCCTCAATGTTGCCTGGAATCTGCACCCCGCCCCCCCCCCCTCAACGTTGCCTGGAAAACTCAATGTTGCCTGGATCCCGCCCGCCCCCCCCCCACCTTCAATGTTGCCTGGAGCCCGCCGCACCCCCCTCAATGATGCCTGGAGCCCGGCCCCCCCTCAATGTTGCCTGGAGCCCGCCACCCCCCCGTCAATGATGCCTGGAGCCCGTCACCCCCCCCCCTCAATGTTGCCTGGAGCCCGTCACCCCCCCCCCTCAATGTTGCCTGGTGCCCGTCACCCCCCCCCTTAATGTTGCCTGGATCCCGCCCGCCCCCCCCCCCCCCCTCAATGTTGCCTGGAGCCCGCCGCCCCCCCCTCAATGATGCCTGGAGCCCGGCCCCCCTCAATGTTGCCTGGAGACCGCCACCCCCCCGTCAATGATGCCTGGAGCCCGCCGCCCCCCCCCCCCTCAATGATGCCTGGAGCCCGTCACCCCCCCTCAATGTTGCCTGGAGCCCGTCACCCCCCCTCAATGTTGCCTGGAGCCCGTCACCCCCCCTCAATGTTGCCTGGAGCCCTTCACCCCCCCCCTCAATGTTGCCTGGAGTCCGCCTCCCCCCTCAATGTTGCCTGGAGCCCGTCACTCCCCCTCAATGTTGCCTGGAGCCCGTCACCCCCCCCCTCAATGTTGCCTGGAGCCCGTCACCTCCCCCTCAATGTTGCCTGGAGCCCGTCACCTCCCCCTCAATGTTGCCTGGAGCCCGTCACCCCCCCCCCTCAATGTTGCCTGGAGCCCGTCACCCCCCCTCTTAATGTTGCCTGGAGCCCGTCACCCCCCCCTCAATGTTGCCTGGAGCCCGTCACCCCCCCCCCTCAATGTTGCCTGGAGCCCGTCACCCCCCCCCCCCCCGTCTCAATGTTGCCTGGAGCCCGTCACCCCCCCCCCTCAATGTTGCCCGTCACCCCCCCCCCCCCCTCAATGTTGCCTGGTGCCCGTCACCCCCCCTCAATGTTGCCTGGAGCCCGTCACCCCCCCTCAATGTTGCCTGGTGCCCGTCACCCCCCCCCTCAATGTTGCCTGGTGCCCGTCACCCCCCCTCAATGTTGCCTGGAGCCCGTCACCCCCCCCCCCCTCAATGTTGCCTGGAGCCCGTCCCGCCCCCCCCTCAATGTTGCCTGGAGCCCGTCACCCCCCCCCTCAATGTTGCCTGGAGCCCGTCACCCCCCCCCCCCTCAATGTTGCCTGGAGCCCGTCACCCCCCCCCCTCAATGTTGCCTGGTGCCCGTCACCCCCCCCTCAATGTTGCCTGGAGCCCGTCACCCCCCCCCTCAATGTTGCCTGGAGCCCGTCACCCCCCCCCCTCAATGTTGCCTGGAACCCGTCACCCCCCCCTCTCAATGTTGCCTGGAGCCCGTCACCCCCCCTCTCAATGTTGCCTGGAGCCCGTCACCCCCCCTCTCAATGTTGCCTGGAGCCCGTCACCCCCCCCCTCAATGTTGCCTGGTGCCCGTCACCCCCCCCTCAATGTTGCCTGGTGCCCGTCACCCCCCCCTCAATGTTGCCTGGAGCCCGTCACCCCCCCTCAATGTTGCCTGGAGCCCGTCACCCCCCCTCAATGTTGCCTGGTGCCCGTCACCCCCCCCCCCCTCAATGTTGCCTGGTGCCCGTCACCCCCCTCCCTGAATGTTGCCTGGAGCCTGCCACCCCTCCCCCCCCTCAATGTTGCCTGGAGCCCGCCACCCCCCCCCCCCTCAATGTTGCCTGGAGCCCGCTACCCCCCCCACCTCCCCCCTCAATGTTGCCTGGAACCCGCCCTCCCCCTCAATGTTGCCTGGAGCTTGCCACCCCCCCCCCTCAATGTTGCCTGGAGCCCGCAACCCCCCCCTCAATGCCTGGAGCCCGCCGCCCCCCCTCAATGTTGCCTGGAGCCAGCCACCTCCCCTCAATGTTGCCTGGAGATCGTAAATTAAGTCTACGTTTTGCTCAAGTGTGTGGAGGTGCCATGTTAACCCCCCCCCCCCCCCATGGCCTCACTCAGCTGGTCATGTGAGACCATGTTTGAGTACCCTCACTGGAGGCGCCTGGGGGAGTAACACAACCTGGGCAGAACTATTCAAGAGCAATCCTGCAGCTTAGCAGACAGGCAGACGGACGGACGGACGGACGGACGGACGGACGGACGGACGCCCTCCTCCCCCCCCCCCCCCATTATCTGTGTCGAGGCTCCCCAGTGCATTACTTTACCCGGAGCTGTTATGATGAACCTTGATGCTGGCCCCCTCAGGATAGGGGATACAAGTGTCCCCCCCCCCAGGAGGGAGAGTACCCAAGTGTCACTCGACTGTCACCTAGTGAAGTGTAGTCCTCCAAATGCTGGGCTGCCAGTCACCGCCTTACGGCGGAATAGCTTTATTCTAAATTCAGAACCCTAATGGCAATAACTCAGTGTTATCTTCAAGTGAAGCAGGGTCCAGAGGGCCCACTAGGGGCCAACCAGGAGCCCATACCCAGTACTTCTGGGCCAAGTCGACGCCAGACACCACCTCCCTTCCCAAGAGCCGGCAAGAACCGTATAAAACTGTAAATCAAACTCCACGTGATCTCAGGGGATGATAGCGCCAAATGTCTTATTTATCCGCGGCGTTGAAGGTCATATTCTGCCTGACATTACCCATAAGTACGTCACCTTACCCGGCGGTTCCCGGGAGGATATTGTCAAGCCGTCTGGTCTCCTCAGCTGTTGTAGTCGTACTGAGGTCTCCTCTAGTCGACTCGTACATGGCCGTTTTTCATACCCTCGGTTCCGTACACGAGCAACTTCGTTCATTGTCCATTTCGTATAGAGGAACCCTTTCATATTTTACTTGAATATACCTAATGTCTGTGCCTTTAGGAAATTCAAGTAATATATGAATATCTATCATATCTCTCTTGTCGCTGGATTTTGAACTGCAATATTCCTGGCATTAACGGCTTCGACGGGTAGGCGGTTCCATAATTATATAACCATACGGGCGAAAAATTTACCTGCTCGTTTATCGAGTCGGACCAAAAATTCAGAAGTTGGTACAAAAAAAAAAAAATCTGGTTGATATAACATGTAAGTTGTGGATGAGAACATGTTAAATGCTTTGAGTATAAAAGGTGGCAATTCTTTACCATATAAATCAACATGCAAAGTTAGTTAACTAGTCATTTATTATGCACCCCATACCAATCCAGAAAGTGGTGGTCAACCCGACCTCACACTAAGCTGTTTAAAGCAGCGGCCGTCCTCCCTAGACGCATTCATCAATTTTAACACACTGTGTATTAAATATTGGTTTATTCTCATATAGAAATTAATATTTTTATACATACAAATTTTATGTATAGTTATGCATAGGTTAGGTCAGGTGTTTAGGTTCTGTGGGCAATTATTTGTATTTATAGTACGTGAGTGAAGCATTTACAGCGTTGTGGTTCGAACAAAAGTCGTCAGTGCAACCCGTCCTCGACTCAAGTCCATTACATCCAGCGGTCGACCCCACAGACGCATTCATAAATTTTTACATGCTGTTCACTCAAAATGGGAATATTCTTAAATATAAATTAATATTATAATATATTAGCATATTGTACATATAAAGGTTAGGTGTGTAGGTTCTGTTAGTGATTGTTTATATTTATAGTACGTGGGTGAAGCATTTATAGAATTGTGGTTTGAACAGAAGACGTGTGCGAAGCACTTGTTCCAGAAGTATTCGAACGAAATCAGTTGTCAGTCGTGTGTAAACCGTTTTTCATTCATAAGCAGGGGGTTTGGCGGGTGCATGGAATCACTTTTGGGTCTTTAGTCAACCCGTCCTCGACTCAAGTCCATTACATCCAGCGGTCGCCCCCACAGACGCATTCATAAATTTTAACTTGCTGTTCATTCAAAACAAGAATTTTCTCAAATATAAATTAATATTATAATATATTAGCATATTGTGCATATATAGGCATAGGTTAGGCTAGGTTAGGTGTTTAGGTTCTGTTGGTTAGGTTAGGTTAGGCTAGGTTAGGTGTTTAGGTTCGGTTGGCGATTATTTGCATTTGTAGTATGTGGGTGAAGCATTTATAGCGATGTGGTTCGAACAAAACTCGTCAGTGAAGCACTTGTTCCGGAAGTGCTCACACGAAATCAGTTGTGAGTCGTGTGTAAACCGTGTTTCATTCATAAACAGGGGGTTTGGCAGGTGGATGGAATCACTTTTGGATCTTTGTTTGGAGGACGGGCTGCTTTAGTTGGAGGATGGGCTGGACTCACAACTGATGACGTTCGAACAGTTCCGGAACAAGTGCTTCACTGACGAATTTTGTTCGAATCACAACGCTATAAATGCTTCACCCACGTACTACAAATACAAATAATCGCCAACAGAACCTAAACACCTAACCTAACCTATCCTATGCCTATATATACACAATATGCTAATATATTATAATATTAATTTATACTTGAGAAAATTCTCGTTTTGAATGAACAGTATGTAAACATTTATGAATGCGTCTGTGGCGTCGACCGCTGGATGTAATGGACTTGAGTCGAGGATGGGTTGACTGATCAGACCGTTCTCCCAGCCCATCCTCTAACTAAAGACCCAAAAGTGATTCCATGCACCCGCCAAACCCCCTGCTTATGAATGAAAAACGGTTTACACACGACTCACAACTGATTTCGTTCGAACACTTCTGGAACAAGTGCTTCGCACACGTCTTCTGTTCAAACCACAATTCTATAAATGCTTCACTCACGTACTACAAATGTAAATAATCGCCAGAAGAACCTAAACATCTAATATAACCTAACCCTTGCCTATATATATCCACAATATGCTAATATATATAAATAAAAATGGAAATGTTCGTTTGTTCAAAATCGCTAATCTCCGAAAGTTCTTCACCGATTGCTTTGAAATTTTCACACAATGTTCCATTCGCATCTAAGCAGGTTTTCATATACATATTATATTGATGTTAGGTCTGTGAAGGAAAAAAACATGCATTTTTGGAAAAACTTCTTGTTTTCATGTGATTTTCATGTGAGAGAAATCTTCGAAACATCTTTACTGATTGCTTTGAAATTTTGACACAAGGTTGCATTCGAATAGGCGCGTGTTTCTATATACCTACTATATACATGCTTCTTTTGAAAAACATCGCAATCTGCTGGATATAAGAGCAACACACACTGTAGTCTTCCAAAGTACTTCACCAATTGCTTTGAAATTCTTACACAACGTTCCAATCAAATACGCGCATCTTTTTATATACCTACTATATAGATGCACCCCGCCCCCTGTGTCAGGTAAAAATGCATTTTTGAAAAACAGTGCCCTCTGTTGTGCATAATATCAACATGCACGCTATACTAAATATATCACGAATTCCATTTCAATGTTTCCAATTGCATTGATAAATTTTATTTTCATAGATTTCGATTTATTATATTTTTTATTTAATTATTTTGTGTGACATTGTGTTGGAATTGAGCTGTGTTCTTTACCATACCGTTCATTTCGTAAGTGTAAGTATAGATGCCACACCTGTGACAGGTAAAACTATGCTTTTCTTGAAAAACAGCGCCATCTGTTGCATGTAAGAGCAACACACATGCTATACTAAATATGTTACAATTCCATTTCAATGTTTCTGATTGCATTGATAAAGTGAATTTTCATAGATTTTGATTGATTTTTATTTTGATATAATTATTTTGTTTGAATTGCGTTGGAATTGAGCTGTGTTGTTTACCATACCGTTCATTTCGTGAGCATAGTTTATTTTTTTACTTTTTCATATTTTCATTACACTTTTTGACTGTATTTCATATATATCAGTGATGGGAACATCAGATCACTTGATATTATCAATTTTCTGATGGGAACATCAGACCATTTGGGAAGACATCAGACGAGGGAGGGGAGAATGGTGGGGGATGGCGAGGGGACGGAAGTGAGAGATGGTGGGGAGGACAAGGGGACAAGGGAGGCGATAATGCTGGGGAAGAATAAGGGGACGGGGGAGTTTGGGATGGTGGGCACGAGGGGATAGCGGAATGGAGAATGGTGGGGAGGACAAAGGGACGATGGAGAGGGGAATGGTTGGGAGGCCGAGGTGACGGGTGAGGGGGGAATGCTGGGGAGGACTGGGGGACAGGGATGGTTGCTGTGGCTCAGCAACATACATACGTTGCTGAGCCACAGCAACGCGTGGCCGGGTACTGCTAGTATATCTATATAAAAAAAATGTAAATGTTCATTTCTTCAAAATCACTAATCTCCGAAAGTTCTTCACCGATTGCTTTGAAATTTTCATACAAAGTTCCATTCGTATCTAAGCGTGTTTTTATATATATATACTGTATAGATGTCACGTCTGTGACGGGAAAAAACATGCTTTTATTGAAAAACTGTGTTTTTTATGTGTTTTTCTTTTGAGGGAAACCTTCGAAACATCTTTACCGATTGCTTTGAAATTTTGACACAACATTGCATTCGAATAGGCGCGTTTTTTTTATATACCTACTATATACATGCCTCACCTGTGACCGGAAAAAATGTTTTTTTGTTTTTAAAAACAGCAGCATCCGTTGGACGTAAGAGCAAAACATATTGTAATCTCCAAAAGTTCTTCACCGATTGCACTGAAATTTTGACACAACGTTCCATTCGAATACGTGTGTGTTTTTATATACTACTATATAGATGTCACATCTGTGACAGGTAAAAACATGTTTTTTTGAAAAATAGCTCCATCTGTTGCACGCAATAGCAACACATGTTCTACTAAATATGTTACGATTCCATTTCAATGTTTCTGATTGTATTGATAAATTTAATTTTCATATATGTCGATTTATATTAATTTTAATTTAATTATTTTGTGGGACATTGCATTGGAATTGAGCTGTGTTGCTTACTATACAGTTCATTTCATAAGTATAAGTACAGATGCCAAGCCTGTGACAAGTAGAAACATTCTTTTTTATGAAACAGCTCCATCTGTTGCACGTAGAAGCAACACATGCTATACTAAATATGTCATGATAACATTTCAATGTTTGTGATTGCATTGACAAATTATATTTTCATCGATTTTTATTTTTTTTCATTTTGACTTAATTATTTTGTGTGACATTGCATTGGAATTGAGCTGTGTTGTTTTCCATACAATACAGTCAAACTGTGTAGATTTCACAGGTTCACCTTCACATGTTCAAATATACTCATTTCGTGAGTATAAGTATAGATGCCACACCTGTGACAGGTAAAAACATGTTAAAAAAAACAGCGTCATCTGTTGCATATAAGAGCAACACACACTATACTAAACCTGTTATGATTCCAGTTCAATGTTTTCGATTTCATTGATAAATTGAATTTTCGTAGATTTGGATGTATTTTCATTTTGATTTAATTATTTTGTGTGACATTGCATTGGAATTGAGCTGTGTTGTTTACCATATCGTTCATTTCGTGAGTATAGTTTAATATTATTTTTTTTCATTTCGTTTTTTAACTGTTTTTCTTATATTTCAGTGATGGGAACATCAGATCATTTGATGTCCTCAATTTTCTGATGGGAACATCAGATCAGTGGGACGAGGAAGTGGGGAATGGTGGGGAGGACGAGGGGACGGAGGAGTTGAGGATGGTGCGGGAGGACTGGGAGACAGGGTATGATGGCTGTGGCTCAGCAACAAACATGCATTGCTTAGCCACAGCAACGTGAGGCCGGATACAGCTAGTATTATAATATTAATTTATATATGAGAA